CATGGAACCAACCGTTGAGGCACCTCACAGCGAGGCGGCTGCACGCCAGAGTCTCTGGCGGAGTCCTGTTGATCGCCTGCTGCACCTTCCCGAACTTTTCGCATCGACGCACGGAGTTGAAGGTCTTCCAGCCGCCCCGCTTCTGAATGGCAACCAGATCCCGCCTTTGTAGCATGGCGTCGCGGGAAGCCCCATCCGTGCCGCGCCTGGCGTGTGCACAGCTGCTCGGCGCCCAGCCCCACGATGTCCGTTGCGTCCTCGAACGCCTCCTTGTATTGGGCGACGGACAAGCGGAAGAGCGGTTCGCTGGGATCGCGGCCCCGCGCCAGCTCCTCCAGGTGGGTCGACAGCTGCGCATCGAAATCCTCCACCGCCACCGTGTCGTCGAAACTGCCCGCTTTGCGGGGCAGGCCGCGATCCTCTGGCCGCGCCACCAGGCAGAGGCGGCGGTAGCCCTGGAGGCGGGCCGCAAGGAGGACAAGATCCCCAACTTGGACCTCCGTGGCCTCCCCAGGGCGGGCGTAGGTGTCGTAGGAGGTCAGCAGGCACAGGGCAGCATCCCTCCGCCGTGTAGCCAGGAGGGCGCCCGCTATAGCAGATAGCTGTCCATTCCCAAGGCAGTCCAAAACGAGAGGCACCTGGAACCGCCTTTCGGAAGCCCTTCGGCGCCCTCCTCATCCGTGGCAGTGGCAACGCCAGCGGCACAGGGCCCCAATCTCACATGAACTTGATGGCGGCCAGGAGGCGCTCGGCCGTCGCGGCCTCGTAGCCCTCAAGGTAGAGCGAGTCGAGGTAGTCGACGGCCGCCGCATCCAGCTGCTCGTCGGTGTGCAGCTGAATTCGCTCCCGCGCCGCCCACTTCGAGAACTCGTGGTAGCTCTTCCTGCACGAGGCGGCGACCGAGGGTTTCACCGAGGCCTGCTCCGGAATGCTCAGCTGGTGCGGGCCCCTCTGGAGAAGCAGCGGCCCCGCAGTCTCCTGGCCCGCCGCCACCGCGTGCCGAGCCCTGCGCGCCTTCGCGCGGTCGGCCCGAAGCCTCTGCGTGCGGGGGCCCGTGGGCTCTGGCAGAGGAGGCCGCAGCAGGCGAGCAAGCGGCAGCGGCCCCGAGCGCGACGAGCTCGTGGATGCTGAAGCGGCGGACAGCGGGCCCTCCGGGGGCACGGCCGCTGCTGCGCCGCGGCCTGTGGTCTTCGCAAGCTTCACCACATCGCCCGCGGCGGCCCTCGGCAGAGCTGGACTCCGCGTCGGTGCTCGGAGCATCAATCGTAGGAAACTCGTCCTGGTGAGCCGAGTCGTTACAGGCAGAAGAGAAAGAGGAAAGAGATTTGCGACCGTGGTGTGTCTTCTTCGGGACAGAGGTTTCGAACATCCTCGAGGGCCCATGAGCATGATTTACTTCGGAAACTACCCAACGCCATTTGAACTTGCAATTGAGAACGACGGTGTAAGTGGCCACACTTCGGCAACACCCCAACATACGGAAGTCCCCACTGCGGCCTTTAAGGAACGCCAAGATGGAGCCCATCGAGTCTCCGAGGATGAGGTGCTTCATGTTGCGGCAGTCCATCGGACCGATATAAATTGGAAATCTCTGAGACTCGTGGGTTCTGGAGGACGTATCTATCGCGCACGGCGGCCGTCTCAGAGCATTCCCGAGCGCTCTGAGAGCGCTCCGGAACGCTCTGGAACGGACTTATCTCGATTCCAGGCCCGTCCGACTCCTAGCATGGGCGCAACGGGTCCTGAGGGAAACGGGTCCTGGACCCCAGGGCCTCCCCCCAGGACGAGCCTTACGTCCTGAGCCGATTTTTTCTGACGGTCCCGGGGCTCGTGGTGGGCCCCGAGAGCCCGAAGAGGCGAACAACCTCAGGACCCGTTTCCCTCAGGATCCGCCTCCCACATGGCGAACTCCTCCCTCCCGGCGCCGTGAGATCTGGGGAGATCTCGTGGCCCCGGCCATGATATCCCCCTCCCCTTCTAGACAAACGCGTTCCACCACTCGCAAAGGAACTGCTTGCAAACGGCCTGGATCCGCCGCAGGTTATCCACGATCCATTACTTCGAGGCGGGCATGTGTTTCCCGGAGGTTTGTCGGCATGCTGCGAGCGCAGTGAAACGCGCTCGGCCACCTTCGTCGTCATCCCCCTCTTGGCCACGCCCGGTCCTCTTCTGACAGTTCCGGGGCCCGCGGAGGGCCCCGAGAGCTCGAAAATGGCGAAAAACCTTCGGAGTCGCTTCCCTCGGGACCCGTTTCCCCTGCGGCCCTCGCCCTCGCGCCTCCCGAGCAGTTTTCCGCGTCTTCGGGGAAGGCTTGGAAAACTTCTCAGAAGGCCAGGGGACTTCCCGACCTTCTGAAAGAGGCCTTCTCCTTCTCACTTCCCCCCCTCGCTCGCCGCCGATCCTCGCGGCCACCCCCTGGGGAAACCCAAAGGCAACGATACCACTACTCTCCGGACCTCTCCCGGGGTGCGTTCTGACTCGGATTTCGAGGCGAATCCAGCGGTGGCAACGAGGGCCTTCCAGGAGGCCCAAAAAGGGGAAGACAAGGGAAGGGTAGCAGGTCCCACCTCCTCGCGACCGGCCCGAGAGGCCGGTCGGTCCTGCAGACGCCCCAGCCGTGGGGGCCCCGAGGCGCGCGGCGGCGGCGCAGAGGCCGCCCCCGAGCCCGGCGCGGGGCGCCATGGGTGCCGCGGGGGGCGGGGCGGGCGGCAGGCACAAGTCGTCTTGGAGGTGTGGTACAGTCAAGACCGATCGTAAGGATGCGCGGTGCGGTCCCAGGCATGGTCGCAACGCAGGTTTCTCGTCGTTTCAGCTTCTCGAGGCCCCCGACGGGCCCTGGGACCCACAGAAAACAACTCAGGATGAGAGACTGGTCCTTGGGGCAGGGTCGGGAATTCCAGGGGCCGCGTGCTGAAAAATCAAAACGATCGTACAGTCAACCCGAATAGCAAGGATGCGCGAGGGGGGCACTGGATGAGGAACCATCCCGCCGTGATTTTTCGCTGCGAGGGCAGCGGGGGAGTCCCGTGCTCCCAGCCTCTCCTGGGCCGCCCCTCCGCGGTGAGCCTCGGCGTCGCCCGACGCGCCGGGCGTGCCCCAGCGCACAGACTTGGTACGCCCGCACTGGGCACACGCAAGCTGCCGCAAGAAGGAACACTACAGTCAACAGGTAGAGTAAGGAGGCACGATGAGGATGCAAGGGCCTTGGAAGACCATGCCGACACTCTGCGAGCGGCGCGCGGCCAGCGAAAGCGGCCAATTATGGGCCGAAGGGGAGGGATGCGAGGGTAGCCTTGGAAAGCCGCTGATCTTCACTATGCGTGTTGACTGTAAGGAAGCATGGGATAAGGAATCCAGGGTCTGGAAGCTGATGGAACTCCAATCGTGGATTGCCCATGGATAACACCGCCACCCTCAGCAGATAAGGACACCCCCTAGGGTCTGAAGTCTCCTGGGCACATTCCTTAACGAACGCCTCCACCACAAGGATGCAAGCCCTGAGACGCCCATGTCGAAGCTTTTCGAGCAAGGCTTGCAAGCCCTTGGACGCCCATGTCGAAGCTTTCCGAGCAAAGCTGGCAATCGAAAGGGGGGTAAGGAGGGGCCACGGAGGCAGGGGAGGAAGGTTGCCCATCCTTCTCATCGGATTCGACTGTATAGGCCGCCGAGATAGATGGGGTCAGAGCAAATGTGGTCGGAGGATCGCCCCGCATCGCGCCGATGCATCGGCGACGCCAACGTGGAGAAGTCGGGCTCCACATCGACCGGCATCGCTGATTCATCGGCGATGCGGCGCGATTCGCCGAACCCATCTACTCCGACCCCATCTGGGAGGCCTAGATGGCGGTGCAGTCAGTAGTAGTTTTGAGACGTCGTGGAGTTACGCTCGAGCCCGCAACGCACAGCGATGATCCGAAGAGTGCCAGTAGTAATATAAAAGCATTGCCAGTGCGACCGCAGCCTGCCACGCTCACTCCCCAATGTCGCTTCCCCCCAATGTCCACCCGACCACTCCTCTTCCCTTTAAGTAACTCCGTCTCGCCGAAAAACCCAGGGTGTCGGGAGGGATGGCTGGGCAATGCGCCTGAGACTTCCTCATCGCTCATGACTCTGACGGACAGGCAGACAAACGACAAACAGACCCGCACGGACGGCACCTACGTGGGTGCAGCGGGTGGGCGCCAGGGCGCCGGTGAAGGATGGACTGGCCGCTCAGAAGCTGGAGTCGGGTCGAAGCTGGGGTCGGAGACATGGGAGTCAGAGCTCATGACTCGTAAGTTTGACGATTCCAGCATGTAGAGGGATGGGGGGCGGGCTGGTCTCAAGATGCGGCTCCCGACGAGAGAAGGAGGAGGAGGAGGAGGAGGAGGAGGAGGAGGAGGAGGAGGGGTGGACTTCAGGTCCTCCCCTGCTTCCCTCTCTTCGGCCCCTCGCCGCCTCCCTTCTCCCCTCCACCCCAGTGCTGATGATCTTCTTCCAGGCCCTGGCGGAGGCGAAAGCCGCCGCGGGGTGGGCGGGCGAGGGGGGAGGGAAGGGGGCAACGCCTCGCACCGACCGTGGCGCCCACAGCCTCGAGGCTTCGAGGAGGAGCCTCTCGGAAACTCCTGGTCCTGTGCGCTCCCAAGTGGCCCCCATGTGTGTGCGAGTAAGCAGGCAAGTCTACCTGCCCCCCTCGAGCTCTGGTCTACCTGCCCGATGAGGGAGAGGGGAGGCGGAGGAGGAGGAGGAGGAGGAGGAGGAGGAGGAGGAGGAGGAGGCTGACGCTGCAGTCTGTGTGGGCTGAAGTACGATCAACCCGAAAAGGAGGAGGGGAGGCGCACGTGGCCTTGGCGAGCATGTCATAATTATGCGATTCGCAATGCGGCGCGAGCCGCGTGCCGAGCGTGCGCTAGAAGAGCAGGCGACGCAGCTTCTTGCTGGGCAAAAGTTGGCCGAAGCTTACGGTAGGTATGGTATGTAAATGTATGCCTCCTGTGAATGTGCAACCGCACGTTCAGCGCCCCCTCATACTCAGAATCATCCCCCAAAACACGATCCGAGAAAGCGGGTCGAGGGGAAGGACTGGGGAGTGGATCTCAACGGTTTTCCACAGGGGCTCACAACAGAGGTTGCGTGGGATGGCATCGGGTGATTCGCACCCGAACATGCGTTTACTTTCTGCAAGGTTTTTGGCTCTGCCACTTGTGATCCAAAACCCTAGCAAGGTCTTGATATGCGGCCAGGCTCGCGGCGGTGCCTGCGAGGCGAGAAGACGCCCCAGACGACGCCATCGGAGGCCCGCTTCGTGCAAGAGGGAAGTGGGTAGGTGGGGAGCCAGGAGGAGAAGCGGCGACAATGAGCTGTGGGATGGACTCTGGAAGGCATTGCACTTGCAAGCTGTACAATACTGAACCTGGCACCGCGGAGGTTTCTTCGCTCAAGTTTCGATAGCTTTGCTGGCCTAGCGTAGCGCATCAGAGTGCGCCGTGGGAAGCTTGTCAGGGGGATGGGGAAGAGGCGAGAGGAGATCCGAGGCGAGAGAGGTCAGAGGGGTCGAAGGAGGATGATACTGTGACTATGGAGTGCAGGATGAGCCAGCAGGGTGCAGACCACCACTCGCAGGCCTCTCGCCTGGCCGCTCCCTCTACGAACGCACGGCTCTGGGGCCTCTGGCAGGCCAGGCTCCACGATTGAAAGGCTATGCCACAAGCGCGCCAAGAGCATGCCAGGCAGGACATCAGCATTGGTTAGGGGACCCTCATCCATCGAAAACTGCGCAACTCAAGCAAGCGAGGGGAAGATGACGGAATACGCAACAGCTGGTGTAAGACATGAGTTTCCCGATGCAGCATTTGATGTGGGAGAGGATAAAGCTGAACATTGTGCGATAGACGTGGCAGAATGGACAGGGGGTGGAACCGAAAACTGGAGTCAGCAGGGGCCCGAATCGCAACCACCATACGGCACCTCGACCACCCGTTCCCAATCATCCTGTGGTGTTGGGTCCTCGTTTCGAAGAGACAACGCCCCTAGTCCTCATCCTTCCTCCTCCCTCCTCTCACCATTGCCTCTGCTCGCACGCATGTCCAATTCGGCACACCCTTTCTCTCGGTTCGTCGCACCATAAGGAACTCCACCAAAGACCCCAAAGGCAGTGTCCGCGTGCGCCCACACCGCCCACAGCATGCCCATTCCGGCACACCCTTGGCACGGTCCGTGGCCCCATAGGGAGCTCCACCGAAGACCCCAGAAGCAGCGTCCGCATGCGCCCACCCCGCCCACCGCATGCCCATGTCAGCACACACACACACACACATACCTCACATGGTTTTTGGCCCCATAGGGAACTCCTCCGAAGGCCCCAAGTGGTAGCGTTCGCATGCGCCCACCCTGCCCACCGGGTGCCAATTTCGGAACACCCCGTATACGGTTCGTCGCCCCATAGGGAACGAACTCCACCGGAGGCCTCCGTGGCATCGTCCGCATGCGCCCAACCCGCCCACCGCATGTATATTTCGGTAGACCCTCTCACACGGTTCGTGGCCCCATAGGGAGCTTCACCGAACGCCCCAGAGGCAAAATTCCACATGCGCCCACCCCGCCCACGGCATGTCCATGTCGGGATACCTTTCACATGGTTCGTGGCCCCATAGGGAGCTTCACCGAAGGCCCTCGTGTCAGGGTTCGCGCGGTTCGTGGCCCTGTAGGGAGCTCCACCGAAGGCCCCAGCGGCAGCGCCCGCATGCGGCCACCCCGCCCGCCGCATGCCAAATTCGGCACACCCCTGCCATGGTTCGCGGCCCAGTAGGGAGTCGGGCCAGAGGCCCAGGCCGCCGGAAGGCTTGAGGAAAGAAGCTGGAGCTATTTGCGGCGCGCACGAAGCGGCGCAGGAAGGAGGCGACGGCCCCCGCCAGGTAGCTAGGCTTCACCGAGTTTATCCGCGAGGCCGGACCTGGGGAGCTGGACCACCCGAGCAACGCCTTCTTTCGATTGTCCAACCGCGCCGCGGGCGACCCGCGCGCGTCGCTGGAATCCTCTCGGGGCGACCAGCGCGCGTCGCGGGAGCACCGCGCTGCGCTCTGCCCAGCGGCCGGAGCCTTGCTCGCTATCAGCCAGCCGGCTAGCTCTCTTCGCTCCGCGCAGCGGACGACCCGCGCGCGTCGCTGGGGCCCTTTCGGAGCGACCGGCTCGCGTCGCGGGGGCCCCGCGTTGCGCCGCGCCCGCGGCCTTGGACTTTGGGGCGCGCGGGCAGAGAAAAAATGGAAGAAGGGTCATATTGGACTGTCCAGCTATCCTCGCGCCCACCCGTCGAAAAGACCGCGGACAGGGGGGGGCGCGCCGAGGGCCCCATGGGAAACTCAGCCAAAGGCCCCAGTGGCAGCGCCCGGGCACCACCGCCATCCCCGTTTGGCACGTCCGCCACGCGCTTCGTGCCCCAATGAGGAGCTCCACCGAAGACGGCGCTCGCGACTGCGGCACTCACAGCTGCGCATGGTTGGGTCCTTTGCCAGGCGAATTATGTTGTTCTTTGCTTCCAGATGCAAGTCGATGCGTGAGCTGGGCCCCTGGGCCAAAATGGGCGCCCGGGTGCCGACGGGCGCTGCAGGTTTGAACATCGGCCCTCTCGGGAACGCAATGCCGAATGGCCTCGTAGAGGCTCGCAGCTTGATCGTCGGCGAGAATGTCCCGCGAGGGGGCGGGCT